GGGAGAGGGAGAAGCAGGCTTCCCGCAGAGCAGGGAGCCCGACGCAGGGCTCGATCCCAGGACCCTGGGACCATGACCTGAGCCGAAGGCAGACGCTTAACGACTGAGCCACCCAGGCGCCACAACTGCTTAAAGATTTGACAGAAACAACCAAAGCATCCTCACCCTCGGGGCACGGGGAATGACGTCACCCTCTGCTCAGTATCCATCTTGTTCTCACCCTCCACCCCCACCCCACCACTGACCTTCAAAAGGACACAGTGACAGCAAGAGGCAGGAGTTTGTGGCTGATGTGACCCCAGTGCATGTGCAAACCCTGCCTTACATGACTCAGCTATCTCAACGCCAAGAGAGGTGTGGGGAGAGAAGAACGCAGGAGATCTGCAGCATCTCCCTCCAGCAAGAAGCCCAGGGAGCAGCTCCCAGCTTTGCTCAGCCCCTGCTGGGACCCTGCGTGCCTAGTGATGGTAGTGGTGGTCATCAGGGCTGGCCAAGCTCACTATAGGAAACCCTGCCCTGCTTCTGGGGCCCTTACTTGGTTTCTGGATGTGATGGTTCAAGGCTCCTCATTCCCTGTAGTGGGCCCTAGGGTATGTTGCCTGGTTCCACCCACCCTGAAGGTTGCTGGGGTTAATGGTTGGGTTGTTGAAGTTTTGCAATCTTTCCTTTATACTCTTTTCCCAAACTAAAAGAATTCTCTTTCAGTTGGCCCACTCTGAAAAAATAATAAAAAAAGCTACCACGGACCCAGAAGTTACCATGCGCCAGGCCCTATGTTCCATGTGCATCAACTCATCCAAGCTTCACAGAGAAGCTTGGGATGGGAGTTATCACCATCATTCCCTTCCACAGGTGGGGACGCTGAGACACTAACAGGCTAAGTAACTCACCTGAGGTCACACAGCAAGTAGGTGGCAAACTAAATGCTCAATACTGAGGTGAAATTCATATTCCCATGCCTGCCCTACACTCCATGTTGGTTGTCCGTTGTGGCAGACATGCTTGGGTCCTTCTGGAAGGAGACAGTGTCCAGACAGAGTCTCTCATTACCATGGTTGGTGCCCCAAAGCCTCTTCCTTGGGCCTATTTGGTGCTGACTGCCCTGGGCCAACCTGTCAGAGTGTTTTCTGCAAAATGCCTTTCCTTCATCACCCAGCCAATTCTTGCTCATCACTAACAGAAGGATCCTCTTCCACTGCCCCAAGTGGCTCCACTGGACCTGTGGTGACTGCCTGGGCTGTCCATTTAGTCTGTCTTCCCTAGTATCCATGAGCTCCTGCATGACAGGGAAGAACCTGAGCCCTCATCTGTGTACCCCCAGTTCAGCACACACACTGTCCAGCATGAAGTAAGCACTCAGTGAGTGGTTGTCTAGTGGCTAGAAATTTAGGACAAATGTGTAGGACCCTGACCTTGGGCCTCTCCTATAATCTAAGACAAAAAAGCAGCTTCAAAGTAGAAACCTCCTGGCCTATCTGTTTGGAGTAACATGGTCTAACTCTGGATATATCTATATTTATTTTTAAAGACAGCATTTAAAACAGAATTTTCAAAGAATAAATTAAATTGACTCCTTCCCAGAGCTGCTTGCTCAAACAATGCTTCCGTAGTTAGACTGATTGGAACATTTATTAGCTCTTACATTCAGAATGGTGGCAAGGCCATTGCTCTGGAGTTAAACTGGACCGAGGTGTGAATTCTAGGTGTACCAGTTACATAAGCTTGGGCAAGGCGCTGCATCTGAGAACCTCCATTTCTTCCTCAAAAAAATGGAGTTAAAATGCCTGTCTCAGACTTGTCATGAAGATTAATTCTGAAATGCCCGGGATACAGCAGAGCTCAGAAAATGTGAGTTTCCTTTGAAGGAAGCACGCATATAGAAATGTGGAATACCAGTCTTAAAATGTTCTCTTCTTTGTCCTGCATTCATTCACTCATCATTTATTTAATCATCTATTCATACAATCAATCAATATTTGTTGAGAACTAACACTGTGTCCTGCAGGATAAGGAGGATTGAGGATAAAACAGGCAGCACAAACATGGTCACTGTCTCATGGGGCTTACATTTTGGTGGAAGAGACAAGAGAATAATTCCAGCCCATGACAAACTGAAAAGTGTCTTTAGTACAGATGCTAAAGTAGAGATAATTTGGGGCTGCCACTCCAGGTCGGGTGGTTAGTTACAGCATTTCTGGGGAGTTCACATGTGAGTAAGACCTGAAAGATGAGCTCTAGGGAGAACTGGGGAAAGGCTGTTCTGGCAGAGATTATAGCATATGCAAAGGTCCTGAGGTAGGAACGTTTTAGGAACTGCTACAAGGTCAGAATGCCCCGAGCAGTTAGTGGCAAGTATGGATGAGGAAGTGGGCAGTAGCTTATAGGTCACCCCTTGCTGTGGGCTGCCATGCATTTCTGCAGAACCAGAGAACAGAGCAACAGGCCTAGATGGGGCAGCTAATTAATACAAAGAGGTGTGACTGGTAGTTTATGGGAGGAAATGTGCACTCACAGAATACAGATGTGAGGAACATTAGGCAAGATGTGAGCATTTGGGTCTGGACAGGTCCTTCAGAGGTACCCTCAAAGGTGTGCACAGCCCAGCATTTGGGAGGCTGCTCCTGAGCACAGGTAGGCATCTTGCAGTAAAGGAAAGAGGTCCTGGGGAAATGGAGTTTGCAGGGAAGACCTGGTGGCCCAGGAGGGCTGGTCGTAGAAGCAGAGTGGGGTCCTACCTCCACAGGAGTGAACACACTTGGTAGAAGTGAGGAAGACAGGAGCACAGCTATCCAACCCATGATGCAAGGTGGAGACCTGATCACCAGGTGTGAGGCATCAACCTAGAGCCCACCAATGGAGTCTGTGTATTCCAACTCCCAACTGCCTCTCAGGCCTCACCTCTTTACATTTTCTTTACTGGCTGCTTCCCAGTCTTCCTGCTCACAGGCTTTCTCCCACCACAGGACCTTTGCATATGCTGTTTCCCCCCCCCCCCCGGAACATTATTCCTGCCACTCTTTACCTAGATAACTTCTCCACTTTGCTTTTTCCCAGGGATGCATTCTCTGGCAGACCTGACTGGGCAAACTCTAGATTGATACGGTCTTGTGGCACTAGATGCCATTCAATTTCAATTTAATTTTTATTTGTGTAATTATAGGTTAACATCTACCTAACAGAAGTTCTAAAAGGGGAGAAATCAAATCTGTTTGGGCTTACACCTGCATCTCCAATGCCTAGTGCAGTGCCAGGGCCAAATATTTAATGAACAAATTAATTATTGATAAAAAAAAAATAGCCAGTTTGGCTCCCGAGTAGCTGGCTTAGACCAAAGTGTGGATCCAGAATCAGCAGCATCAGTATCTCCTAAGAACCTGTTAGAAACGCACATCTTTGGGCCCACCCCAAACCAACTGAATCAGAAGCTAGGAGGAGAGGGGGAAGGAGGGCAAATTGCAGTCTGTTTTAATGAGTGCCCCCCCCCCAGATTCTGATGCACACTTAAGTTTTAGATCCACTGGCCTAATTCCCTAGTTCTGAATTTATAGGTGGGACTTGAACAGACATACCCTTACAGATAAGCATTCTATTAGGTAAAAGCTAAGCTGATAATTTTTGATGAGTCTTTGTAATGACTGGAGTTTGGACTTGACTCGAAGGCTTTTGAAGGTCATGACTCAGCTTTTGAAAGTCACAACTTGGCTGTCCTCGGGCATGGGGCAGTTGGCTTAGTGTCTGAACCCTAGAGATGCACATGCAATTTCCTACTTATGAAAACAGGATCCAGCTGTTGACATGAGCTCCAATGCCTGAACTTTGTTTGGGGATGAAGGTGGAGGAAGAAATACTGAGCTGTGTGCTAAGACAAGATAATCCTGCAAACTCACAAATCTGAAGAAATGCCATTCTTGTCTGAGCAGAGCAAGGCCTAGCCATAATTGGGAGCCCTGGGGGCATGAATATCTTCCCTACAATCCCCAGAGCCTTCCTGTTTAAAGCTCCCTCCCACAAGCATAATATCTTCTAACAGTGGAAGCCCAGTAGATGTTTGCTAAATGCATGAGTGAGTGAGTGAATCAATGAATGTATAAATAAATTAATGGAAGAAGGGATCAAAAAATGTTTCGTCTGCTTAATACAGTACAAATATGGATTCTCTCTACTCTGGAGCCTTCTACTCTACAGGAAGATCCTCTCTTTTTTTTTTTTAAGATTTATTTATTTGAGAGAGAGAGAAAGAGAATGGGGGTGAGGGGCAGAGAGAGAGGGAGAGAGAGAATCCTCAAGCAGGCTTCCCACTGAGCATGGAGCCTGATATGGGGCTTGACCCCAGAACCCTGAGATCAGGACCTGAGCCAAAACCAAGAGTCAGCTGCTTAACCAACTGAACCAACCAGGTGCCCTGAGATCCTGTCTATTTAACCTTCTTCCTCAAAGATTCCATTTTAGATTGAACCTAGAGATTGGATGAATACAAGTTTGTGAGTTAAATTAATGTGCTTCACTGAGGAGAGAGGGAGAAGGGGAGAAAAGCTAATCCCTGCTAGACTGGAAACCCCATGAAGACATGTTAGTTTTGTTCCCCCATCTCTCTTTCCAGCACCTCAGACAGAGCCTAGCCCATAGCTCAAGCTCCACAGATAGGAATTGTTGAGTGACTGACTTTGGAGTGATGGTTGTGTGGCTGGCAATGGGTCAAGCATTTGACACCTCATTTCATCCCCAGCACAAAGAAACATGCTTGTTCCACTTTATGAAGGAGAAAGCTAAGGCTCAGAGAAGTTGCAAGAGGTGGCTAGATACAAATTCAAATGTATTTATTCAATGAGCGGGATGTCCACGCTCACTCTCCTAACCCAGGCTGGCTCCTGATATCAGCCACCAGCCAGACTTTTAGCTGCCTCCAGCTCTGTGAAGTTCTTGAGTGGAACCCAGAAAGGTAAATCCATCTCCTGGCCTCCTGGCCTATTTATGGCTACTCCTGGAGCTCTAGCTCTTTCTGATTCTAGGAGTAAACAACATGACACAGGAAGGGAGAGCGATCAAAAGTTTGGTCCCTAACAGGTGACAGTATCTTACTTTGTCTTCACACCATTTAGAATCTCTCCTGAAGGAGTGGACCTTGTTTTGGATTGCCTCTGTGGGGATAACACTGGAAAAGGTCTCAGCCTTCTCAAACCACTGGGAACCTATATTTTATATGGTAAGTGCTGAAGACAAGAGGGTATGGTCTGAAACAGGGAGCACTGCATGCATGCTTACAAAAGCTCTGATGAATAAAATGTGTTGATATGTTGGGGTAATGAGATTGGGACGGCTTAATTTTTTTTAAAGATTTATTTATTTATTTTGGAGGGGGGACAGAGGGAGAGAATCTTCAAGCAGACTCCCCACTGGGTGTGGAACCCATCTTGGAGCTTGAACTCACAACCCGTGAGAACATGACCTGAGCCAAAACCAAGAGTTGGACGCTCAACCGACTAAGCCACTCAGGCACTCTGGGAGGGCTTTTTAAGTATTTTCCATAATATTACTATTGCCATTAGTTATTTTCAATTATAAAAGTAACACATGTGCCTACTGCCCTATTATCCCTATGAATACTTCTCACTCCAAAAGGGGTAAAGGAAGGTCAAGACAGTGTAGTCATTAACTTGACCAACAGAAGGTGGCACAGGTGGGAAATATTAATGGCTTCAAAGGAAATTCAAAAAATGAAGGAATGAAGGACCCACAGTAGGATGGGAGGGGTGGCTAAGATATGGCAGTTTTAAGGGAGATTCTTCCCTACTGGAGATGAAGTTGCAAATTACAACTCCTTCCTATTCTAAACTACTCCTGTATATCCTGATCACAAAGAAACCCTGAATGGTTGGAGCACACCTATGCTTTGGCAGCCCCTGATATGCTTTTCAGTTTGAGGGGATTTATCAACAATATCTGGGAGATTTTCTCCAGCAGAATGAGACCCCAGAGCCACCTCCCCCTCTTCTTCCTCTCTTCTGTTACATGATTGTAAACTGATTTAAACATTAGTCTCTACAAAGTCAAAGAAAGCCTACCTGAGAAGCCAGGTATCATATTCCAAAGCCAAAGGATACTGGGATTATCCAATGTTTGAGATTTTTGGCACTTCTGTCCCCTATAGGTCCAATAGAAAATTGAGCCTTAGCTCTGTATGACTCAGGAAAAAGTATTCATTTCCCTGCTAGTCACTGAGAAGCTTATAAAAGAGATATTTGAGAGGTATAAATATTTAAGCATCTTTTTATCATCATGATTATGACAGAAAGAGGGAATAAGCTTCCCATTGCTGGAGTGTTCTGGTATTTTCAATAGTGACCACATAGCTGAAAGTCTTTGCAAGTAGATGCATAATTCTTTAATTATTACTATTATTGATAAAAGAAGCTGTGAGCATCAATGCCCAATGTGGGGATATTGGATATGACTAACATGTGAGTCAAATGTTGATGGACAATTTATTCTTTCTTACTTATTCACCAGTTCTATTTTTGCTCTAGTTCCATGATGTCACTTGGCAGAATACAATTTTATCATCTCACAAGGATCTAACTGATTACACTGATTACAAAGTAACCAAAGCCTGGTACCACAATGCTTGGTGGTAGTCACCCCATAAAAGCAGACCAGTGATTAACTAACTGGCTACTAGTCTACCCAGGCCAAATAATGAAGTTCCAAATATACATTGCTTTTTCATTAAATAATGGTTCTCTGAGAAGGACTTATTCCCAATCTTTGGGGACAAGACAAGAAAGTTGTTGAAAAGGCACCAATATGGCATCTGATCTGTTAAGAGCTCTCATCCCCTCTGCATCCCCAAGAACCACACAAAGGGGCCTTTTCTTTCTGTAAGAGCATCTTAGGAAATCTTCCTAACACCATCTCCCATCTTCCCTCTGAATATTGCTTGTTCCCTTTAACAAAGCTCAGTTTCTCACACCATTTGTCTCAAGTGGTTTTGTCCTCTCTGCTCAGATTTCTTTGGCGCTAGTACATTGATCACACCACTTCCTGGGTTCCTGAATCTATATTCACTCTCACCTGCTCTTCTGTACCCCATTTTTCCATCCATCTAAATTCTAGCTCAGTCCTATCTCTCCCTGCAACTTAAGTGCCCAGCCCACCAGAGCCCCAAGCCCTTCACTTAAGGAATCAAATTCAAATCATGAGTGAGGCTCATATAGGACTTCATTTCCCAGTCTTGAAGAATGGAACCAATAAGACATTTCAAGCAACTTATCATTTTATTAGAAAGTGGGTCTAAATCACATTTTTGCTACATGCCCAATTTTCCAAAGTAATGACATGGTCACCTTGAGAAATACTGCTTTCTCTTTGATCCAGTGACACTTGGCTAAAATTAAGTAAACTTAATGCCACCCACTCCCTTAATTTCCCTCATTTTTCTAAGGCTGCATTAAAGTTTTTTCAAGCTCTTGACAGTTCTGGACCAAACAACTGCCATTCTTCTGTATGTAGCAAGAGATGTTGGTTTTCATTAGCAATAGCTTGACTTGGGAATCTTCCATTTGCAGGTTCATCCAACATGGTGACTGGAGAGACCAAGAGCTTCTTTAGCTTTGCAAAATCAGTAAGTATCTGTACATGTCAAATGTACTATGGTAGTGCGTGATTTGCATGTTGTGAGCTCTTCCATCTAAAGACATTGATCTAATAACCTAAACCTTGTTTGTCCTTCATCTGCATCATTCATTTTCAATAAACCCTGTGTTCCCACCCTGGTCACTACACATGGACAAGACTCTGTATTAACTTTGGCTGCTTTGTCTAAATGAAGCAGAGAGGTGGGAGCATCCGAGAAACTCAAGAAAGCTTTATTTTGATTTCAACAGAGATTGCTTAAGTTTTTGTGTTTTTAATCATTCATTGGTAAAAAATAAACTTGGCATTAAGTGAATTTTATTTGCTTTATGGAGAAACCAACTGTGAGTTGGTTTCTGACCAGGTCTCTAGGGGTCCTTAAGATTTCTCTGTACCTCCATTCTACTGAGTTGGAGACCCAAATGGGATCCCACAATTGTAGTGAGCCCCCTGGGTGGTTTTAGACACAGGCAAATCTCTGAACCTGTAGCTTAAATAATCATGCTCTGAATGTAGTTGTTACTTTGTGATTGAGAAACCACATCCCTGGGCATTCCAACCTACTCCGATCTATATTGCCACCTAGAGCAACACTTGCTAGAATTAAGCTAATTTGGACTTGAACTTCAGTTTTTACCCCTGCCTCCCAACAGAGAATTGCTGCTTCTCACAAGAGCTTGCTCTTATCTCCTCTCCTGAGCCTCCTAAGCAGCCAGCACATCATTGATTGGTTCACTCACTTTGTGAGCACCGTCTGAGCACCTGCCATGTGTGCAAGTCACCAGGGCATTGCAGTGAATGAGATGGGCACATATTAGCCCCTTATGACTCTCACATTCTAATGAGGGAGACAAACTGAAAGAAGTAAAACATATTAATAAGATGATTATTGTAAATGGTCATAAGAACTCTGAAAGGGATTCAAAACAGGATGCAGGATGGGGTGGAGGCATCTGGAATAGGGTGGCCAGGGAAAGCCATAGAAATCATTCTAAGTGTGGCACTACGGGGTATTCATATGTCCCCTAAGTGCCAACATTGCAGCTGCACAAGGCTTCACCCCCAAACATTCCCTGATTCTGGAATGATTCGTACTCCCTGCCCTGTGACAGTAGAATTAAAGGACCTGTCTTTGCCTTTGAACTTCCAAATTTAGGTCAAGGATCACTGCAATGACAGAATCTGTAAGGGAGCAAGAATGGAGTGTAATGAAGGATGCTGTCTGGAGCAAGTCCCATGAACACAGGCTTTGCGCCACTCGCAGCTGTTTTGTTGCCATGGCTGTAATTAACGTGATGCTGACAGCCTGCTGTGGGTAACCAAATTGATCCCAAATTACATGCAGTTGTAAGGAGTGTTTTCCTTTTCTCCCCTAAACGCACAATCAGAACACACAGTGTTAATGAAATAACTGCAGTGTGCCCAGGTTCAGTGAAGGCACTCATAAAAACATGGCCAGGATGGAGGTTGAGATTCTCCTGCCTGAAACAGGGGTGCCGATTAAAAGAATGCTACATAGTTGGAGGTCAAGAACAAAGACTATTTCCTTTCAGAGGTCAGGTCCAATATTAGTTGGTCAGTGAGAAGCAAAATGAAGATAGGGCATGCCAAGGAGTGGAATGATGACTTTGTTCTAGAAGGTTCTAGAAAGGAATTTTCTTCTATATATTGGAGAAAGGCTTAGAAAATAAAGCCATACTTGGACATATACAAGAATTTCTCACTTAGATATCCTAATTATGTTCCACCTTAAAACTTGCAGAGCTGGTACTCACTCTTTGTCAAACACGCCATTGGCTTTTAGACTATAGCATTGGTTAACAATGGTTAACAACTAGAGAGCAATCTGACTTCAATTCAGAGCTCCTCCTCACTAAATCAAAGATAACAGAAATACTTTATATTTATAGAAAACCTACTCCAGGTCAGACACTGTTCTAAGAACTTTGTATATATATTAACACATTTGTTCCTCATGATTGACCCCATGAGATACAGTAGGGAAACTCAGCACAGAGAAGTTAGGTGACTTGCCTAAAGTTGCACAGCTAGTAAGTGGCAGAACTGGGATTCAAAACCAGGCATTTGGCTCTAGAACTCCCTTAACCATAGCTGCAGGAATTGCAGATTTAGCAAGCATTCATTTCACAAACATTTACTTGAACGTTGCAGATGCACCATGAAACAAGTCATTAATCATTTCTCTACTTTGTGTTTGTGGGAAGCCAGCCCATGGCCAAATATATGTCTCTCCTCGAGCTGGCCTCCAGGCCCTCAGGGGATGTACATTAGTAAAGAATTTCGTGCATGAACCTTATCCCTTTTTTTGACTTACCTTTCTCACACTTATTTTCCTAACAATATGATTGTCCCACTTAAAAAATATGTATCAAAATCTTTTGTGAGCTTTCGTGAGCTCCCACAATTCAGGGAAGAGGCAGGATGTAAATAAACACCCCAATAACATAAATATTATGAATGCCCCTAAGTGCCCATCACATTCCTCTCTGCCTTCTCTTTTAAACGATTCACCACTTCTCCTTAGAGCCCTTAGAAACTGGAACTTGGCATTTCTAAATTCTGACCAGCACCAAAGAAAATACAGGTAAATCAGAACGAAACAGTTGGATAACCATTAGTGGATTATTTACTTATTCTCTTGTCTGAAGTGGGGGATGAGAGGCTGGAAATAGCCACATTTGGCACTTGTGTGTGTGTTCCATCTAGGACTTTAGCGCTATTGGCATTTGGGGCTGGATAACTCTTTGTCATGAGGGGTTGCCCAGTGCACTGTGGGATGTTCACCAGCACCCCTGGCTTCTAGCCACTAGATGCCAAGTTTGCCCTCCCCTCCAGTCACCACCACAAAAACACCCCCAGACATCACCCACTGTCCCTCAGATAGGTCCCAACACTGTGGCTTCACGCTCCATCATGCTATGCTTTCCGCCTGAATTATGTTCCCTCACCCTTTTCTGGTGGATTCCTACCCACCTCTCCAGCTGTACCATCATTCCCCCTAGGAAAGCTGCTCTTGTGGCTGGGTCACCATCCCACTGAGTCCCTACCACACTTGGTGGACTTCTCTGCCACCCCTCTCCTTCCCCACCATTCATAAGCTAAACTCTTCAGAAGCCTGAGAGGAAGTACCCTGCCACTCTCTGTAGCCCAGGGATATGAAGCACACAGAAGAACAGGGAGCAGAAGTGGTAGCAGGATTCAGCTCCAGAGCCGACAGTCCTAACCCTGTGCCTCAATGTTCCGATGACATGCGGCCCAATAGCTGTTTTCAGGAAGTTTGTTTCTCTCTCCCACCTAGACGCCGTGCTCTGCTCACAAGCATCACCATGCACTCACAGCACTGCCTGGCTAAGTAGCTGCCTTAAAAAATACCCCAACAAGGACCATCCCTTGGCCAGCTGGAATCCGTCCCACTGCAGCCCTATTCTCTGCACACGATGCTGTGAACACGGCTGGCTTTGGTTCCTTGTAACGGACACCTTCTCTCCTTCCAGTGGTGGCAGGTCGAGAAGGTGAACCCCATCAAGCTCTACGAAGAGAACAAAGTCATCGCGGGATTTTCCCTTTTAAATCTGCTCTTCAAACAGGGCCGTGCAGGCCTCATTCGAGGAGTGGTGGACAAACTCATTGGGCTCTACAACCACAAGAAGATCAAGCCCGTGGTAGACTCCCTTTGGGCCCTGGAGGAGGTAAGAATGATGTTTTTCCCCCAGCAAATAATCTCTTTTTAGCCCAGGGAGATTTGGGCAGCCAGATACAATCTTTTATTCAAAGATTATTCTCCAGGTTTGTTCGTTTTAAATGAGGGTCCTAAAAGTCATTGTCCTAGAGTTTGGGCTTTGGATGTAAGAAATACTCTAAGTTCCGTAGTGGTTCTCAAACCATGTGCCTCAACCTACCACTATAAGCCCTTCTCAGATAGGCCACCAAGTTTTCATGGGTGTGGACGGTCCACCTGGGTTCTCAGAGGGCATGAATATTGCTGCAGCATCATTTATATTATCACCTCGTGAGTAGATGACATCAAGGTTGGGGCAGACAGTGGCTCAGAGCTGAAATGTTTTGTATGCTAAACTCACTGCTGTTAGCGGTCACAATGGGCACTGTAATTATGAATGAATTGTCGGGTCTAGTATTGGACTGAGTGTGTTTGTTAACTGATCTGCCAAAAGTTCTAGGATTTGAAAGCATTCCTCGATCATGAAAAAAATCTAGACTCCATAATGTAACCTTTCGGGATACTGAAGCATGAACTGGCTGCACTGGGGCAGGTGGTATGTGCTAGGAGGAGGCAGGGTCTAGAAAATCCTCCAGGATCAGGGAAGTTCTGGACATTTGGGTAGCCAGTCTTGGTAGCTACCTGTGCAGAGAAAATAAAGAGGTATAACCTAGGATGACATTTCACTAAGAAATCTTCGTAGGTCAGGCCGTTGGCTTCAGGCAGCCATGAAGCCCCCTGAGAAATATCTTAAAATATGTAGGAATGTGTTTTGTGTTTGTTTGGCTTTTGCATTTTGCATGGGTGAGTGCCTTACAAGAATTTTTTTGTACTTTGGGGAGTCACAGACATCCTTGGAAAAGCTAACAAACATAATGTTCTGTGATACACATAGTAGGTATTGTCCTGACAATAAAGTTGGTGCTATTTGCCTAATGAACTAAGTTGGCCAAAATCCAGTGGCTCCCCTAAGCACAGAAATTGCCCTAAAAAAAGCTTTGTGGGGGTCCCCATGTAATCGAGTAAAACTGGTCTTGGGTGAATGGACCAGGAGTGCCTCTTTGATACTGCAGTATCATGAATGGTCTTAAAAAAATACCCAGCTACCAAAACCCTTGTGTCTTCTGATAAAAGAAATACATGCTTATCGTAGGAAAGACCTAAATTAAGAACAGAAGCGTAAGGAGAAAATAAACTGCAAGTGCACATTTCAGAGATAACATTGCCAACATTTTGGCTTGTGTCCTTCCAGTCTTTTTTTCTTTTGCAGATGTTCACTGTGATTCGGTTTCTTGTTAAATCAGATAATCATGCATTCCTTCTGCTGTGTAATCTCCAAGATGGCTAGCCTACTGTTATACATTCCTTGAAAACGTTTTTAATTTACTGAGTCAGACATACGGATGGTATTCACTGTGTTATCTCAGTGGCACAGAGAAGGGCTGGACTGCATGGTTCCTGGTTCTCAGTGGTCAGAGAGGAGAGAGAACTGGGGGTAGTCAAGACCAGGGCTAAGAGATTAACTTGACTATGGGACAAAGAAGGGGGCTTATACTTAAACTCAGAGTTTAAAAGGGAAGCATTTAAGTGAGAGTTGAAATCCAGGAGGGGTGCAGTTGACCCCGTGGGTCCTTATTCTCATATTTGAAATCATTTCTTGGTCACAAATAGGTATTGAATAATTACTATGTGCTCAGCACTGTGCAGATGCTGGGGACACAGTGGTGAACAGACAGCCAAAATACCTGGGTTTCATGCAGCTTACATTTAGAGGGATGGAGGGAGGGGCAGAAAATACTGGACAGTGAACAGAAATCAGCAGGGTATTTGCAAATTGTCATAAGTTCCTGAAAGGAATTAAATGAGGGTATATGTTGGAAGTAAGTGGAGCGGGAAGAGTTTTCACAGACCAGTGGTTTTCAACCTCTTTTTCCTTATTATCTGCCCCTCACAGGAGACTTTTTAGACTTCTTTTCCTGATGAATCCCCTCTATGATATTTTAATACCATAGGGATACCATCTATCTCTCTATCAATTCAGCTACCTACCTATCATCTAGCTAGCTATCCTTCTGTTTATGTCCTACATGTATATCTGTGCTTTACAGATTAAAAGAGTAAGATTTTTTTCATCCTCCAAGAACCAATTTTTATCCCTTTGGGGGGGGGGTGGTATCGCACTCATTGAAAATGCATTCGGTACAGTGACTTCAGACAAGAAAGGTTAGTTATCATTCAAGCTGGGACATGAAAGAGGCTGAAAGCTACAAAAAAGTGCCTCCAAGGCAGAGAGACCCTCAAGAGTAAAAGGACAAGGCTTATGTGGCCCCTTTCCACAGGTTGGTATGAGCAAATGTGGGAATGGTATTTATCCAAAGGATACAAACATAGTGATTTGAAGGGGCACCTGCACCCCAATGTTTATAGCAGCAATGCCCATAATAGCCAAACTATGGAAAGAGCCCAGATGTCCATTGACAGATGAATGGATAAAGAAGATGTGGCATATGTGTGTGTGTGTGTGTACACACACACACACACACACACACACACAGGAATATTATTCAGCCATCAGAAAGAATGAAATCTTGCTATTTGCAATGATGTGGATGGAACTAGAAGGTATTATGCTAAGTGAAATCAATCAGAGAAAGATAAATATATGATTTCACTCATGTGGAATTTAAGAAACAAAACAGGTGAACAGGGGAAGGGAAGGAAAAATAAAATGAGAGGAAAACAGAGAAGGAGGCAAACCATAAGAGACTCTTCACTACAGGGAACAAACTGAGGGTTGCTGAAGGGGAGGTTGGTGGGGGGAAAGGGTAACTGGGTGATGGGCATTAAAGAGGGCTCGTGAAGTAATGAGCACTGGGTGTTGTATGAAACTGATGAATCACTGAATTCTACCACTGAAACTAGTAATACAGTATATGTTAATTAAATTGAATTTCAATTAAAAAATTTTTTAAAAAAGGAGTACCGGAGTAGGTGAGCAGGGCCCAGATAGAAATCTGGAGTTTAGTCTAAGTCCCATGGGAGGCTGCTAGCAGGTCATGGTCAGGAGGTGCCACATTGGGACCCCAAGGGTATGATCCAGTAGGGAAGAAGCAAAAATTGTGAGACTGGGTCCCAGGCTCCAGCTGCAGAAGTCTGATATTCAAGGAAGCTCTTGACCTGACTTGGGAATGGGAGCGGGGGCTAACCTGAGCTCAGTGCTCATTCGGGAGGGTCTGCTCATGTAAGGCAGTGGGGGACAGTGGAACCCCATGCATGTGGGAGTTAAGTCAGGATGGGTTCTGCGAGGATGCAGAGCACAGGTTCTCAGGACCCGCGCTGACCAGAGGCGGGAAGCTCAGGCTGGCAGTCGTGGTGGACTGAGTCAGGGATCCTATCCACACAAGTCCGGGTACTTTATTCCAAATACTTCCCCAATTCACCCACTTGCTCTCCTTTCCACTCATGGCACTGTGGTCTAAGCTGGTCTCCCTCCTGCATGAGCTCCTGACTGGCCCCTCACTTCCATCTTGCCCCAGTGCAGGGCATTCTCCACCCAGCAGCCCACCCTTGGGCCTTATCACTTATCACCTTATCACTATCACCCTTATCACTCCCTAACCCAGACCGTGTCCACCCTGCTTAAAATCCCGCTGTGACTTCCCACTGCACCTGATCTGCAGTCTGAATTCTTTCCTGGACTGTACAGCTTTGTCTGGTCGTAACTCCTGCCCCTCTCATCATCTTCTCACTGTCCACTTCGCCTCCTCCATCCGAGTTGCAGTGGCCTGCGTGTCCCTGGTCCTGAAACTACCCAAGCCTTTGGGAACAGAGGTATTTTGAATACTCCTCCTCCAGATTTTCACAGAGCTGCTTCCTTCCACCCATTCATATCTCAGCTTCAATGTGACCTAAATAGAGAGACCTTCCGTAAGCCCCTCCTGAAGGGTTCTTCCTACACAGCCACCCACCCAGGTGGCTCTTTTTACTCTGTTCGACCAATCTCCATTGTATTTATCACTGGTTGAAATGCTCTTGTTCATCTGTTGGCTTGTCGAGACTCTTGTCTCCCTTCCACTATGAAGTAAGCCCCAGATGAGGAAAGACCCTGACTGTGCCGTTCAAGACCCCAGTGCCTGGCCTGGAGTCGATGCTCAATAAACACTCATTACATGAGTGAACTGATGAATCCAGCAATACACAGAAATAGGACTACCTGCGTATTCTCTATGTTCAATAATAAATATGTGTTGAATGACGAATAAATGAATGAATGAACAAGACATACTAAAACCAGGTATTATTACTTAAAGACAACCCGGGCCCAATTGACATGTTGGCCAAATCATCCTTTGCTGGGGGTGGGGGTGGCCCTATGCTTTGTAGGATTAGTAGCATCTCTGGTCTCTGCCCACTAGACACCAGTAGCGCCACCCACTGCCAGCCATGACAATAAAAAATATCACTAGACGTGGTCAAATGTCCCTGGGAGGAGGGGCAAGACCTCCACAAATTGAGAAACACTGCTTTAAAAGAAGCCATATTGGTTAAGATAGTCCGTAGGAAAACAAAGGGATTATACGTTCCTATGGCAGGCTAGTCATCCACAGAGGGGGGAGAGAGACAGCCGTGCCTGTTTGCCAACAAAAACGTCCACAGCCACTCATCAGAACACCCACCAACTTTCTGGGGGATCTTTTCTACAATATTTACAGACATCTGTTTAGAGCTGCAGTTGGCCCAAACTCAGTTATTTATCAAGCCCACGTGGCTCTTCTGGGCTCGAGGAGAATAGAGTATGCTTATTACTTGCGAACCTCAGAGGGATGACTGTAATGATTTTTTTCCCCTCCCCTTTGGTAAATGATTTCACAAAATTGCTTTTCAGGCCAGCTCTGTAACCTCATCGATGGAATATAAAGCCCATAGGGAATAAAAGAAAATTTTCTTGGCCTCTCTGAGCCCTCAGACTAG